AAACTATTATAATCAAATCAGCATATTTTCTATAGGATACCAATGAGTCATTATTGCAGGGAATTGTTGAGCCTTTAACAAAAATTTTATATCTCGTTTTGATTTCAGATTTTGTTGTCATAAAGTGTAGGAAAATGACAATTTCCGCAATGGGAAAGTAGAATGCAGTTTTCTAAAGCAATAACAATTGCCACCTCAATTGCTTGATGAATAGTTGCACTGAACATCACTAAAATGAATTATTTTTATAGTTATGTTTTCAAATAAAACTATAACAGTTCTACCAATTGATTTTCCGTTATGACGTACGAAAGAACGAATCAACAAATGAGGCGATATAACAAGAGCCATTATTTGGCCCCAAAAATGGCAAAAATAGCAAAATTACTTAAGTCATTAATATGTTGAAATTGACATATAGTTTACAAATATTGCCATTAACACCTAGTTCTTGGACAAAATAGATATGCGTCAAGGTGTTACCACGAAATATGTTTTACACATATTAATAGCTATATAAATTACATTATGTAGCAAAATATCTTTTTTGGCGAAAGCCTTGGGTCAAAATATTTTAAAATAACAAGACATCAAAATGCAGTTTTGCACTAAATTAAAAGAATTTGAATCCTTCATGCAAATATGTAATTAAGACAAAATTCAAAACTATCAATACTGATATCGGACTGAGAAATATCTTTTGAACAACTGAATGATGGTATCAAGCCATGGTAAATTAATGATTTTCGAATTCAAGGTTTAACGAACGCATGAGAAACGAAGGAGCTGAAACATTTGCCAATATGAACATATTTTTCATACTTATAAGAATTTATCAATTGAGTCCATTTTTTTGGTTCGATTTTATTCCTATTTGGAATGGTAACAGCTCTAAAAGAAATACTTTTTAAGATTTCTGAATAAACATGTTAGAATATAGAAAATTTACATGTCTTACGAAATAAATTTGTCTTTGCATGTTGGATTTAAATTTTCTTTTTAGAACATTTTACTTGCAAATCTCGCTTTTGAGAGACACCTTTGTCGGAATAGACACAAAATGGGTATACTTTTATATTTCTATTTTTAATTGATTGGTCACGTATCAAACGAACAGATGCTTTAATGATGCATACTGAGTTGATAACTCCTCTATGTTGTCATTGGTATACAAAACGTCGGGTTCAGTTTTTTTTGTGTCTTGTGTTAGAAAACACATTTATCTTGAGTACCTACACACAAATCAAGATTTAGAGCAAGATGTTTTGAAAAAAACAACAGTCTCGTGACTTTTCGATGCATAAAGATATGGTGCCCTCAATATAAATGGTTAGATTGATTCCTCAGCTGAGTTTGAACCTTGTGTGACATTGGGGCAACTCCACCTACAATATGTCCAGTGCCTTACACTAATCGTTAAACTAGTCTATATAAAAATTAATTTCGTTATAAGGGTTATGTTTTCTTCGTCGGCTTTATCTAGGGCTGTAACACAGTACATGATGTATGCGGGAATGTAAATAGAATACAGATACACCGGTTTTGTCTAGGCCTGTGACACAGTTCATGATATATGCGGGCATGTAAATGGAATATAGATACACCGCTTTTTCAATGATAATATAAATAATTCAGAAAGCAATTTCATAAACATATATGTCGTGCGAACTGAAATCGAACTGTTATTATGTCTTTTAATAACTCCATGGGTCAACCCCACTGCTAATTTACTGCCAGTTCAATGGATATCTTCCGCTTAGTAGCCAGTCCTGGCATGGTTTAAATAATATATTTGAATTAAAGTTTTCATTTTATACAATACAATACAATTTATATTGTCAATTAAAGACGCCCCGAAGGGTAGAGTAATTGCAAACAATGTATTACAATGATTAATGTTGATTGATGATGATTGGTAATAAATACTTTTGGACGTAAATTCAGATTGCATTTCCCACAAGCAAAGTTGTCCCTGAACTCTTTTGGCTATTCTGTTTTGACAGATTTTAATGCTTCCAAAGATTGAATGGCCTTTGGTATCGTATATAATGACGGATGTACAAGGAACACATTCCATGTGCAATTGGATCAATATGATACGGTTATATGCAGGTGATTTGTTGGTTGTTACTGACCAAATTTAAACATCTGTTTTTTTTTTGTTTTTTTTTAATTTTTTTAATACAACTCAGTTTAAACATCTATACGTTCTTGATGGTCATTTATTAGATCTTATTAGTTTTCTATGCATTTTGTTATTTGTCCTTTCTTCCTTTTCGGATTTTTTTTCATTGGTGTTGTCAGTTTTTCTTTGACTAATACATTTTGAGTGTCCCCTTGGTATCAGATACTTCTTTTTTTAATAAGACGTTTGTAACTGGTTATATAACTGAGTGCAATTCGTCAATATGTTGAATGTTTAGATGGAAAATAACAGGATCACATGAATAAAAATCTTAGATTCATTATGTTATTAATTATTAATTAAGCTTTACTGAAGTATACGCTACATCTGGTTCACCTATATCTGTGGCAATACAAGTAAAATAAAAAAAATTGGAATGTCACGTTTTCTAAGCTTCTATTTTTCTTTTCGGTTCCAAACTTTGACAAAATTGTGCACAAAACATCTTCTTCTATAATTCGTGAGAAAAATGAACGAAACAAAGATTTTAAGATTTTTTTCTTAGCTAAATTTAATCACAATTAGATATGCAATTTTATGTCTATCGTGTACAAAAGTATGTATGATATATTTACCATTTCTATGATATATTTATGTGTTCGCGGTGAAAATAGACACTTATATGCTTAATTAGTTTGCATAAAACAAGGCTTACAAGAAATCGGTAATGATATAAGAGTTATGCTAATATCAACAGTCCATCGGTTAACCAATCAATGTAGAGGTGTTACAACCCCCACAAATAAATGACCACGTAAAGTATTAACCAAGGGCAATTGCTTTTTGATTTAGCGTAATGGTTTATCTATCATCGTTCAGATTGATACTCATTCGAACCGAATTGATAGACATAACAAGCTTAAGCTATGGCTATGTCATCAGACAGCATTTTCTGCTGTTTAAAATTGGCATCGATATTTTCTGCAGTAGAAATCAGACAAATTATGGAAATATGTATAAGCATTGATATTTAATGTTGCAAAAACTTATTTTAGAAATTTTATGCAATATTTATATTTTGGAAACATTAATTGCATCTCATAAAAATATGTATCTGATGTTCAGTAGTTGTCGTTTGTTGATGTGGTTCATAAGTGTTTCTCGTTTCTCGTTTTTTATATAGATTATGCTGTTGGTTTTCCCGTTTGAATGGTTTTACACTAGTAATTGTTGGGGCCCTTTATAGCTTGCTGTTCGGTTTGAGCAAAGGCTCCGTGTTGAAGACCGTACTTTGACCTATAATGGTTTACTTTTATAAATTTTGACTTGGATGGAGAGTTGTCTCATTGACACTCATACCACATCTTCTTATATCTTTGAAAGTTATAATGTATTTTGAAAAGTCTTTTTGGCACACTTAATGTCAAAAGACGTAAATTCCATTTAGGCTTGATCAGTCAGAAAAATTAGTTTCACGAATTCACTAATGCCTATTTGTCTGGAAACACTGTAGCAGCAAGCATTAGCTTTCTCGGTCTAGACTACTAAGATAATCACTTCACCTCAAGACCGTTGAAAGATGTATGCTCGATAACAGTTCGTAAAATCCATTAAACAATGACTATATGAAGCCAGAACAATGGTCTTATACGTTGATGTATGTTATGATAATCTTTATAAATAAAATATTAGTACTGTGCATGATGTCATAATATTTATATTATTTTATCTCACGATTACTTCACGGGATAAAGAAATAATTGATGTTGAGTTGGATTATGTCATTAAAAAATTTAGAAATATAAAAAGCAATTTTCAAGGTAATGACACCGAAATATACCTTGTACAAAGAAATTTCAAAAAAAGCAATTAATTGTTTCCGAACTCCCTTAAGAAATTATGATCTATTTCTATAAAAATTTTCCTTACGAATTATCATAATTTGTTCACTGGTCTTTAACATTTTAAATGATGGATACACGATATTTTCGTATCAATTTTCTGCATGAGCATTTATTAAAACACAGAAAGATAACTCTGCAGTCGAATTCATGCAAATGCATTTCAACAAAATCTGGGAGCTTATAAAAAAATCCCATATTAACAAAAACACATGTATTCTGCACAGTTCATAACATTACTGCATGCATCCTTTTAGTAGAGCAGCGGCAAAAAAAAACTGAGTGTAAGAAGGGAGATTTCTTTATTAACAGCTTGCAGTAACCGCAAGCCTTCTTTGATACAGTGATAATTGTATCTTTCTATTGTTTTCAGAAATACAGATATCATAGAGTTCAGTGGTTGTTATGTTCTGTTCTGTTGAACTTAAGATGGCTTTTCTTCTTTTCTCATTGCAAAACCCACGTTTCCTGTTATTAATGGAAAGTGTTAACCCAGAAAACGATCTATGTTTCATATCTCTTATCACTCCTTTTATCTTTTACACAGGATTGCAAAACTTGGGCATATGATATGTTGTAGTTTCATACAGTAAACGTAAGCTGTACTGGGAACAGACCTGACATTCAAATTGATTTAGTCAGAATAGTGGTTTCAATAAAGTCTTTATCCAGCTTCTAATCCCCAAAACATATCTTATTTCCTTTCATTATACACTGTTTGAATTGCGTATTGAAATAACAATTACGACATTCAACATAAACAATTCCACATTTGATTAAATGCTTTGTTTATTTAGATTACTAGAATTGTTTACAGTTAAAAGGAAACCATAGGGAAGCTGATTCTTAATTATTAACATTATGAAATCAAAAGATATTAAAAATTTTTGAAAATTAACCAATCATTCTATGTATAATATTAATGGTTGGAATATCATTTATATCAATGGTATATAACTAGACTGACAGAGCAATGGACAAGTAGATGAAGGATCAACTAAGTGTCAGCAGTGGTAATTTAGTGGACTTAACAAACTTTTGATTTATAATGTACCAGTAAAATGCAGTTCATCAATATTAGGTATTACTTCAGCTTTTGGCTTTAGGTAAACTTCAATGAAATGTTAAAATTCTTTGTATAAGTTCGTTTGAAATTGTATGAAAGGGAAATTAAATTGTTTAGTTAACAGTAAATATCCCTATGGACATGATTATTGAATAGGACCACACATACTCTTTATCATCTAAAAGATTATCAATTTCCTTTTTGTAGATAAATATACGAAGAAAATACTATTACAGACAGAACTAATGATTGACTGGGAAGTACCTATAGGTTACCAATCAGAACTATCAGAGGTGTTCAAAATCCGATAATGATGTCGTATGAACAAACTATTGAAATTAAATTGAAAAGTAATATAAGAGACAATGCTTGTCCTTGGTTGGATCATTCGAACTGTTGATATCAGCTGGAAGTATGGATGTTGCGAGGTTATTTAACGTTGTAGAACTATTCACATGGAACATAGAATTATTGATGATTATTTTCCGTGATTGTATGGATACCTGATAGTTTAAAATAATGTCTTCGTTGCTCGGACAAACATTTTTCGTCTTTTCTGTTGTTTTCTCTAATATTGGTAAGTTCATATTTTATTCATCTCATAAAAACAAAGAAAATGTCTGTATGGTTTAAAATAATTAGATCAATTTCAAACTATTTTTTTCTAAATTTAAATATGTTTGAAATTTCTTAACAGCAAATGTAAACATAAAAATATAGCGAAAACCAAGCATAAACCTAATTAATTACAGGTCTTGCTTATTCTCCTGTTATATGTAAACAATGAAGCTAAAATCGAACCCCCATGGATCTGTGTAGTTTCATCTCTGATTGCTGAGTGCTTAACTAAGTTGAATAAAGAAGAACGTTGATATTTAAATGTCCAAAACGAAACAAGAGTTAAAAGGAATATAAATAACTGAATCTTCATGAAATGGTTCAAATATTTACTTAAAGATTTTTGCCACAGCATGAATAAAAACATTTGTAAGAACACTCATTTGGCAAATGCGTAGGTAATCATTTTGACATTATTACAATCATTATATATATATGCAGATGATATATTAGATCTCCTCAAAAAAGAAAGATGTATAATTTTCCTTATTTATGAAGACTGATCAAATTAAAAATGAAAGTCGAAAAAACAAGACATGTAGATATGTATTTCCATAACGTACCTAGAGGGAACAAAAACAATAAGAAGCATGTTATGGTATAGAGGAAAAAACATGTAAGGTAATGTCATGGTATCGCTAGCAAATTCCTCATTGGCAATATCGATGAAAATTAAAAGGATTATAAATAACCAAATGTTTGTTGTATGGTTTAAATATTTACTTAAAGATTCATCTTTCAAGTCGTAGTCAATAGTCTTTTGATGGATAGTCGTCTCTTACGTATCATACTGAATACTTTTTTGTAATAATCCAAAATGTTCCAAAATATACCTCTTTATTAAAATAAACCATTGAAATATAATCCAAAATGTCCAAAAATATACCTCTTTATTAAAATAAAACATTGAAATATAATCCAAAATGTCCAAAAATATACCTCTTTATCAAAATAAACCATTGAAATATAATCCAAAATGTCCAAAAATATACCTCTTTATCAAAATAAACCATTGAAATATAATCCAAAATGTCCAAAAATATACCTCTTTATTAAAATAAACCATTGAAATATAATCCAAAATGTCCAAAAATATACCTCTTTATTAAAATAAACAATTGAAATACGTATCTTGTCAAAATGATTTTGTTAAGAATATAAACAATATTAATTATGAATAAAATTGAACCAGTGATAAATTTACAATGATAAAAATAAGGGCTTTTTATCAAAAGTTATAGTTTTAACATTTGTTGATAATTTGTAATAACAATTACCTTAGTACCTTGTCATTTCATTTATGTTGTTTTCACATGTACGACATGTACCTTATAGTATGAAAAGGCACACACCACTAATACAAAGTCTATCAAATTACATAGGCTTCGTAATGATTCAGTTTCATCACTGTTTCAAAACATGCTTATTCGTCAAAGTTTTATAATCATATTCTGATAACAAAGCTAGTATTGTCTGCACCCTGCGTTTACTAATATTTTACAAATACTACTTTCCAGTCTTCTCGCTCAAACTATGTTACAAAGAATCTCACACTGACATATATTTTGAACTGCTAATGCACAATTCCGATAATGGTTTCTATTCAGTTCATCTTAAATTGAATATCAATTTAAAGCCAAAAGAAGGATAGAAATCAATAATTATGAAAAATGAATTTAGAAGTGTACATGACTTTAATTTATCATCTGTAGTACATAATAAAGACATTAATATGGAATGTTTTATCTTTTATTTCGTAATTGATTTTTTAAAATAAGTGTTCAAGAGAAAAAAAAACATCAGATTTTAGCGACCAAAGATTTGTTTATCAATGAGTTTTTATTTTGTAGTACTATGGTATGATCTTGTGTGTAGTTGTCTGTCCTTTCGGGTTCTTTGTATAAACATTAGTTTTGCTAAAATAGGATGTTTAAAATTGGTAACGAGTTGCGTGGTTTGAGGAATATCTTGCTCTTCATGATCAAATTCATAAATTATAAACATTGCATAAGCTTTTAAACGACGAATTAATTTTTAAAGAAATTTAATTATTTTTTCAGTAAAACTGTTTTTTTATCTATTTTATTTAATTTAGCGCAGTCTAGATACCATTATTTTATCTACTTTGAATGCTCATAAAACATAAATTTGTCGTTTCAAACGATGTTACTGGAATCTGTGTTTGCAATACTCCAACGAAGCATGTGAAAAAAAATACATATATGTAGTGTCCCTAAATAAGACCCTATGGAATTATAAGAAGGAAGTGGCGTTAAACAATTATCAATCAATCATAGAAATGTATCCTATAAAAATGTAAACTAAAAGAATCAAACTGGTGTTCGATACAGTGATGAATGCAGTTTGGCTGTTTGATGGTATGTGATTGGATTGAATGAACATGATATTTTCTGCTTTTAATAATTCTTAAGAAATGAAGCAATATATTCTTTTAATCTCACTGTCAAAAGACAAAATAAAAAGCGGTTAAATAAGAAAGAAAGGAGTGCAAAGAATCCTTTCAAAATTATTTGTATATATAACTGTCTTTTAACCTCAACTGTTGCAAGATATTTTTACCGTTTCGATTGTCGAATGTTAGAACAACCAAATAATGTTAACCATTTATTCATTAATAACACACACAGTTTGTGCAATTCCTTATGCATGTGATATCTAAAGATTCCAAACATCTTTTTAAATGACTTTCTCCAATAGTTAGATAAAGATACTGCAAAAAGAGAAAATAATAAGAGAGGTAATACGACCTGTACTAGTTTTTACTAGTTCTTTCCTCCAAAAACAATTACTTGAAATATTTCACTGACAAGATGACTACGTTCACATTGAAAATAAAAAAAATCAGTTATTTTTTTAGATGCTCAATTATAAGGTTATCCTCCCGCTTTACATGGTGTCTTAAATTCTTTTTGGCTTTTGTTTCCTGTTATGTTGTTGGTTCATTGATCTTTACGTTTTAATACTTTTGGATATATATAATGTCTGATTTCGAGAAACAAAAAATACGAAGAATTATTTTTTTTAAATTTGCATGCGCACGGTGCTTTGAATGATATTTTGTATTTTGTTATCTTTTTTTTTGTATCCATCATTTATTCCGCAGTTAATGCAATATTGGGTCGTACTCCCTTCGTGGGCGTTTTCTGACTATATCTTAAGACTACACTTTTAATTTCCCCAAAGACAAGAATCAGCGAACTACTGTTAGTTTTTCAACGAAGAAGACTTTTAAAGTTAAATAATCATGAACAATCATGGTACTGTAAAAATAATCAGCAGATGAAATGCGATTCATATTAAAGGTTGTATTTACTATTGAAAACTGTGCGAACGATGGTGACGTTTCAGACTATCACGCTACTGTTTTTGTTTTCTTTTTCTCTTATTTATCTATGTATTGTTAATTGTAGTCTATTGTCGAATTGCGTACACAGATACAATAAGACACTTGTAAAGTTCATAGTATACATTACAAAAAAAAAAATTAAATAATATTTAAAAAGTGACCTTTAGGAAGTTTTCCGTTGTTTCTTTTCTTCTTGTAGCAAAAACACTCTCGAAGCTTTTTCTCAATACTATAATTATATTTGATCGATTTACAAAGAGCGTGTCTAATCTATGTTCACTTGGTCAATAAAAAATATAGGTTCGTGACCACCAAAACGTTCTTACTTCGGCTGTTACAGTTAAGTTTATTGAAAATTAACAGAAATACCATCTCTAAGGTATTTTCTGATTCAACTTAACAGTTAACCTTGTCAATGTATTCAGAAATAATTTATCGTCACAGTTACTAATATATAACTACTTGGTGCAAAGCGATTGATATTTTATCGTAACGAGCATTAACTAGTCATATTCCTTCCAGAGACATTGTTGTGGAAGATAAACGTCAATATATTGAAAGAAAACTAAATTATCAGTAAAAAGAACTACAGATGGATTGATAAAACAGGTGCTTGGAGTTAATTGGTGTTAGTTTACACCCAATATACAATAATCGAAAATCAAGTCAATGAAACACATATGTATAGACAGGTTTTTTGTTTAATATTAGGATTCTTCCAAGGCAATTTTGATAAAAGCTTTTGCGTGTAGGTAAATTGAGTAAGTGCTTTTAGGATCACATTAAATCATTCTTAGGTTTTATATTTTAGCTCGTATCGTAAAAAATGTAGTTTCAACATCAACATTTTTTTTAAAAATCATTATTGTACTTATGTAAGCCAAATTTGAATCAAAACCTTACAAAAAGACAAATAAGGAAAACAAACCTTCGAGCGAAAATCCATTAATTTTAATTTCAAGTATAATGCTAACGTTTTTTTCAATTAAATTCATATTCAGTGAGTGTTTGCATCTATAAGCGCTTCAACTGTCTCGGTTCTTATACATCCTTGGCTTTCAATTATTTACTTTGAGCGTTCATGAAAATCGCTTCAGACACATAAAATTTATAAAGTATTGTTTTCATTTTTGTATATCGAAGTGACTTCAAAATTTAGATTAAGAATTATTCTTCGACAAGAAGGGCTGCATCAAATATGGATCCTTTTTCTAGAACTTGACACAGACGGACAATTTTAAACACAGATCTATTTTCAACTTCCCATCTAAGTAATAACAATCCATCTGCCTCAGCATTTACTTACCACCGTGCATGAATGTAAAGAACACATTCACATTATGACGGTTTCACAAACATATATGTAATCTTGACTAAAAACAACACCAATGCGGTAATAATTTGGCAAAACTTTATGGAATTCTTTTTTTTTATGATAATGCTCTTAATCTTCGAAATTGACTCGGATGTAACTTATTGATGAGTCTAATGTATACGAAACGCATATCTGGCGTACAACAAATGGGCCTGGAATATTTGATGATTTTTTTACAAACCATTGGAGTAAGCCATTGCTGGTGGGCAATTCGTCT